CAAGAGTTTCGATTATGCCCATTTTTCATTGAGTTACTTTCTAGTAGAGTAGAGAGGCTAGCCCAGCAGAAACTTGGATCATATTTTTAGATTGCACCAAATTGGTGCTGCGAAGAGCATTTTCATGCACCTTTCTTCTTGTGCGGGAAGAACGATGCCTAGTGCGGGGGAAAACGATGCCTAGATTTCTCTACAGTGATAAAATTACTTTGATGCAAAGATTTTGCTTACTCCAAGGAGACACTATCGCTAACGGTGCGACGAGCATAAACCATCCTCGCTGTCTGTCTCATCCTTCGAGTAGAGTAGGTCTCATCACTGGCGCAGCCAGCGGGTGACGGATCGGAAGGATGGCACTGACTGGTTTATAATTAGAACAATTAGTAAAAAAAATATATAAAAAATAAAAGGGAGGGGGAGGGGGTGAAGGCCTGGGTTAGGTGGAGCGCTTGCACCAATGGCGCCCCGCCGCCGGGCAGAGCTTAGATTTTATACCGCATCTTTGTAAAAAAAACAATTTACAAACAAACATGAACAAGAAAAGTGCTATACAACTGCAATACATTGTGAATGTACCCGAGTCTGAGCATGTTAAAAGTAAGACAATATCGGTCCGAAAGTACATATTGTATTATAGGTCTTGTATTAATCATATAATGGGCCTAAACAATGCGTTGTCAAAATCGCTAGCGAAGAAAGCGTAGGGCTTAGCGCTAGGATTATTATACAATGATATTAATACTATACTTGGCGTCAAAAGAAACCAGACACCCCTTTTTTAGTGTTTTTTGTATTGAAAGACTGATTTTAACCAGAAACAATCTCTTTATAAGGAAAGTTTGAACATTTTACAAATCAATTACACAAAAAACAATTTTTTAAAATGAACTTTTTTACTTGAAATTTGATCTTTTAATTGTATGCCCTAAAATTAAAAGTCACAGTTAATACTGCGTATATCCGCCGTGGGCATTGGCGACTTCTGTGCACCTCTGCCGCATGCTTCTCACAAGTCTTTGTATGGAATGCTATGGAATGTTGTTCCATATGTTTGTAAGTGCTGTACGTAGCTGATCTAAGGTGACCGGCTGAGGTCTAAGGGCTCTGAGCTGCCTTTTCATCATATCCCAAAGATGTTCGATGGGGTTCGGATCGGGACTCAAAGCCGGCCATGGATTGAGAACATTCACATTGTTGATGTTCAAAACGTTTGTGGTTAGGTGGGCACGGTGAGCTGGAGCATTGTCCTGTTAGAATATTATGGTGTTTCCATTGCGAGCCAAGAACGGGAGGACGGGCGGGCGAATGATTTCATCAATGTAGCGTCTGGCGGTGAGGTTCCCGTTAATGAAAACGAGGTATGTGCGGCCGGTGCTGGTAATCCCACCCCAGGCCATGACACCACGCCTATCTCCAACTGAACTCACACAACTGTTAGAGAAACGTTCATTAATCCTTCTGTAGACACGCTGCCTTCCATCATTGCTTTGCAGTTGGAAACGACACTCATCTGTGAACATCACATTATCCCACTGTCTCAAAATCCATCGTCGGTGCTGGCGGGCCTAGTTGAGTCTGACTCGGCGGTGCCTCGGGAGCAGGCGGTTGCGTCGAGCATGGCGTCTAGGAATGAGTCCTTGAGCTCTGAGGCGTCGGTGCACAGTTGGGGCACTTATGGTTCTCCGTCCCGGCCACTCCCTGGCTGTCTTGGTAGCAGGCCGGAAGTGATCTCGTAGGTGCAAGACCCGAATGTACCGGTCATGGGCTGGTGTTGTAGCTCTAGGATGACCCTTCCGGGGACCATTCTGCACGGATCCAGACGTTTGCAAACGATTCATTAGTCGATATATCGTGTCTCTTGTCACATTGAAGGTCCTTGCAACATTCGCTACTGGCGTATTGGCCCTCAGCATACCAACTGCCTGATTGCGCTCTTCGTTCGTTAAACGCGGCATGCTGTATCTTTAGATTTAGATGTTTTGAAATGAAACTTTTAACGTTTTATTTTTGGCTACAGATAAAAGATGTGTTAAACCGATAAAATAAAATTTAAAAAAATAAACGTTCGAGAAAAATGACAAAACATCGTTTTTAACAAATCAAGACCTGAGCTTTATTAACTGGGCACCTGATCATAAATTCTGGCTGATCAGGAGCGTCAAGTGTTCACAATCACGTGTGGAAAATTTCAGCTCCATGGGTTTTCAACTTTTCATGAAACACGCAATTAAAATGTGTCTGGTTTTTATTGACGCTAAGTGTATTAATAATATGCTTCTTCCAAAGAGGTTATAATACTAAAGCTCCTATAAGTGACGTCACACGTGTCAACACATGGGGGCCTTCTTACCCTCATCGGCAAGGCCGGTCATATTTTCAGTGCTAGCTTGTAGATTTCCTCCTAGATCGCCGAGACGCCTCCGCGTGAGTCTCGAAAAGTACACATTCTGTACTCACCCGTCTGTTAACTGCACATGTCTTGCCCTCAGCGTCTTACTGTGGGCTCATGCAGCCCCCGTTCGTTTACGTAGGGGGGGGGGTCACTACCACGAACTCTAGAACTAATTAATAATCTCTTTGTGTCTTTTCTCATCTCCCACCGATCCTCACCTCACTAAATTGCTAGCTGATCTTCGATCAACCTCAGTAGCTTCTGCCACTTCTTTGTCAAAGTGATAAATAATTTTCTTTGACTCTGTCCCTGCGTGAAACTTGAAACTCTGATTCATGCCGTCAACAGACTCAAAAAGAACGCCGACCAACGGAGCGTGGGGAATTGTTTGGTTTTCACGTAGAGGTGTGAGTGGGAGCCCCTGACCGCTGTTATCTCGAAAATTGTCATTCCTCTGTGACCTGTGACCCCCCCCCCCTACCCTATGCTATCTGAGTTCTGAGTTACTCAGAAAGCATAGCCCCTACCCGCTCCACCCGTTTCGAAAACCGTTGTTAGGCTAGTTCGTCATCAACGAACAGGGCTTGTATTACGCCATAGGGTCCGAATGGCCGAATGTCTGAATAAAGTTTATAAAGGCGCGCGTCACTTTTACAAGTTGCCGATCGGTGAAAATGACACTGACCCCCCGCCCCTCACCACCAAAGTGACATTACTCATCATCATCCGATGCCTTGCCACTGGCGTGGGCGATCATGGATCTCCACTTCACTCTGTCTTGCGTTGCAGCAATGGTGTCTGTTGTTCTTGCTGCTCCTAGCTATGTTGTCATCTTGTCCAGTATCTTTTCTCTCGATCTGCCTCTGCCTCTCTTTCCATCAAATTTGCCTATAATATTCTCCAATGCTTCTTTCCGCATTGTGTGGGGGAGAGAGAGAGAGAGAGAGAGAGAGAGAGAGAGAGAGAGAGAGAGAGAGAGAGAGAGGGAGGGGGAGGGAGGGAGAGGGGGGAGAGAGGGAGAGGGGGGGATTTACGGGTGGAGATAGATAGATAGATAGATAGATAGAGAGAGAGAGAGAGAGAGAGAGAGATAGAGATAGATAGATAGATAGATAGATAGATAGATAGATAGATAGATAGATAGATAGATAGATAGATAGAGAGAGAGAGAGAGAGAGAGAGAGAGATAGAGATAGATAGATAGATAGAGAGAGAGAGAGAGAGAGATAGATAGATAGAGAGAGAGAGAGAGATAGAGAGAGAGAGAGAGAGAGAGAGAGAGAGAGAGAGAGAGAGAGAGAGAGAGAGAGAGAGAGAGAGGGGCGATTGGGATTCTTATTCTTCTTTCTTGAGAAAATTATGTTTCTCAATGAGACCCTACCCCAAAGGACCTTACAACAAATCTTAAGGACCTCAGAGTGGGTATACATTAATGGAGGCTGCTGTGTGGGCGGCAACGCACGCCTGACAGTAGCCCTGGGTCTTCTCAGTAGGAGGCTAGGCCTTCTCAGGGGTTAGACTCCAAGGAGGAAGGTCCATTTGTAAGGTCCTTGTCCTACACCCATTTTTGACAGCTCTTCTCAAAATGTTGAAGCCACCGCCAATAAGTATAATATTACTATTGTGATACCAGAGCTATGGTGGAAGGGGGATTAAATAGTTTCATTTTTTGGGTTTAAAATCACGGTCGGGTGACCGCAGGTCCTCTTCGTCAGCAGCTACCCACTAACCAATACACTGTATCTTTCTGTCGCACGAATCAGAGCTTACATCGTGCGCAGAAGCAAAGAAAATACCATGTACTTTGTGTGGGATACTTTGAAAAATAACGGCATATTCTAGCGTTTACCAACGATCAACTTTTGTTGGCATAGATTACCTACCTTCTTATGAACTACTAACTAATTATACTATTATGGTTTTCTCTCTGTGTATTGTCTTTAATATATCCAAGCCAATAAACTCGCAAACGTAGTGCATGATGAATAAGGTCTTATTCTAGACTATAACTATAATTACTGCCGATGCCGATAGTCGCATAATATACATAATCTTCAGCATCTTTACCTATGCTGAGTGCAAAGTAGGTTTTGCGCTCATATGACCTTATGCGGCTGCGAGCGCCGTAAAACCTCTACTGAAGCAAAGTAGGTTTTGTTATTATGGCAAAGCTGCGAAAATTAAGTGGCTTATGCGAGCATTCATTCTTGCACATGTTGATCCGGGTCTAGATCTACATCTTTAGGCTTATTTGCACCTTTCCCCATCACCCGTTTCCTCCACGAGTAGGGTGAATGGATACACACATTTTATTGGATGAAAATTTGTCGCCGTTTTCTAATATGTCCGTTTTAATAAACCTATATAACTTGGACTTAAACTGACAAAATACTTTTATCACGTAGGCAGTTTTTATATGCCAAATTGTTTTATTCTTGTATAACGCATCGCTTGTTTATTTTATTCATTTTGGTGGAAATATTACTTATCAAATAGTGATATATTTATTTTTATAGAATTTATAACTAAAACCAGAAAGAATCAGTTTATGAATATAAAAGGCTCACTTTGCTATGTTTTTTTTTCGGATTAAACAAAATTTACCTTTTCCCGGAAACTGGGGTTCGTAAACCTGGTGTTGTCGGTTGTCTCAAGTGATAGAGTTATCTCTCTTTAGCTTTTGTACAGCTCTTTCACAAGGTCAAAGGAAAAATGTAAGTAGTACAAGAATTTAGTTTTATAATACCATTTTGGAGGTTCCCTTTGATATCTTAACCATGATTTTAACATAAAGATTTACGATAATAGGTTTCCAATGATAATTGTGCTTTGTCTCAGAAGGACGGAATTTTGGACTCGGTTTGTATTCCGAAGGAAGCCCTCGCCATTCCTCCCCCATCCATACAAGTACACAAGAAGACTGAAGAGACAAATATAATAATATATCATTAGATCTATTATATCGCAATCCGAAGAGTTTTCTAGATCTAGATCTAGATTTCTATATTTAATTATTATTATGTTAGTCTGTTAATATTGTGATGTCTATCATTTGAGTTGTAGATAATAAAAGTAAAAAGTAGCTTCAATTGCCACCGAGTGACGCGGTGTCAATTGACAAAAATTGACTTTTTGTCAATTGCCACCGAGGCCGAGTGAAGCGGTGTCAAGTCTGAAAACAAACACTATCTTTAGCTTTATTAAATACATAATGATAATGTGTGTCTAATGCCGGGTCGATTTGTTCTCATTATCTAATTTCATTGGACGAATATCTAGTCTAGAGCTACGGTACCAGCTTGGCGTGTTTTCAATGAGACGTAGGCCTAGGCTAGGGCAGGCTAGGCTAGCCTTAGCCTACACTTTGGTGTAGAACCAACACAGGCAATTCTAGAAGTAGAAGGTCACAAACGCACACAAACTCAGGCAGAAATTCACGTTATATCGGGGAACATAAATCGGGGGATGGGGGGTCAGGAAAAGACACACACACACACACACACTCAAACACACACAGAGGGACAGAGAGGCGAACGCACAACATCGAGCACTCGAGCACAATAAGCTAGATCTACCCACCAACGCAAAAGAGCTCCAATTTACTTGGTGGTAGGAGGCCTACTTTGTTGGCAGGGGCGAAGGCTGACTTGTTTGACAGTGACAGGGTAATCAAAGTCAGATGCGTTGCGAATGAAAAATGCAAACAAATCCTGACTTCATGTTGTGTGCATGGTCAACCGCTAAAATAATAGGAAAAGTATCTCATAAATATTTTTTCCAGCAAACATTAGAAAATTTATCTTTAGATGTGAATACACAAACACAAAGCAAAGAAGCAGAGATGTCAGTTCTACAGTATGTAATACCTGCGAGACTAAACTCTTTGGTAGAACATGACAATTTTTTTTTTTTTCACATTTGGCTGTTTTTGTTTTGCGTTTCGCGGCCAGGAGCCGGTGTCATTATAATCGATTTCACGATCTATCTGATTATAGGACGTTAAAAAGTCGAGGAAAAAAAAGCACTTGCAGCAGTCAGATATTATTAGGAGTTAGTTCCCCTCACATCTGTGAGGTAGACTCGACCAGTGTAATAGTTCGCTTACATAATCAGTGCTTGTGACTGCTTATAACTGTGGCCCGAAAGGGGTGAACAGGGTATATATATGTGGCAATGAAACAGTTTTGACTGTAGCACATATATGTTCCCTTCAACTCTTTTAGTAGACTCTTCCAGCCTCACTGTAGGCTTACTTAATCAAAGCTTGCGACTGCTTATGGAGTGGCACGATAGGGGTGAAGAGGCTATTTCTGGGGCTATGAAACCGTTTTGGATGTTAGGCATACCGTTATTGGTGATTATGAGTGTCTTTCTACATTTAATTTATGAGGTTTACGTCTATGGGTGAATTTGACTGGCAATGTTTCAAAATTAGGAAGGGAAGCGGTGATTATTTGATTATATAGGCGCTTCGCCACTGTTTGTTGGTTACATTGATTGCTCATGGTTGTTCGTAAAGCCATGTCATAGCCTACATAAACCTTAAGATTCGTTTGAGGGGGCTCTCATGGCCTAGACTCCTAGAGGCTAGAGGTTAAGGTGTTGGCCTCTCATTCAAAGGTCCCGGGTTCGAATCCGGGTAGCGACCGAAAAAATTTTCTTCTTTAAAATTGTCTCCTTTCACCTCCTTTCCTACTCTCTAACAATGTTCTGTCGTCTGCTTTCGTCTCCTCTTTCTGCCCCCACCCCCTCACCTCCTTTGCCCCCTCCTCTGGGCTCCTGGCTCTTTCTGTAGCCTGTCTGCTACTCCTTAGCTCCTTCTTACTTACTGCTGTCTTGCAACCACACCCCTGATCTTCTGGTTGGAAAGATCTACACCTAGCCTTCTGGGACAAGGGCGAAGACGAAGAATCTCGGAGGGCCCATCGGCAAGTTGCGCACGTTAAAGATCCCTTGGTGGTCTAAAATCGATATGAGTAGGCTTTGGCCATCACCCAGACAAAATTCAAAATTTCCTACCAACTGGAAAAGTTTAATGTGCCCCGCATGCTCATATTTGCCTTATAATTTATGCAGTTGCGAGCGCAGTGAAACACTTACCAAAAAAAATAAAATCGTTTGAGCATGTTGTAAATTTTTGCTATCACTACATTCCTGTACTGGACCTGCACAGTACACTGCAGATGCATCATCGTGTCACAGTACTTCTGGTTCTGAGTGCCAAACCAAGATTATATTTTTGGCTGCCATACCAAAATTTAGACGTAGGAATGATTTGATTTTAAATTAACCCCCACGCCCGATTTTTATTTTTCATAAAACTAGTTTTGTCACTCACTTTGTCCTTCACTTTTTCACTAAAACAACCTTGTCTGGAAGGACACTGTTTCCAGATAAAGTCACTCTTTCTTTGTGCTTTGTCATGTTGGTAAACTTTTGCTTTTGTACTGACCATGAGAGTTGAATGATAGTAAAATTATACACCAAGCTGTTTTTAGGATGTGCTTTTTTAAAGCTGGATATTGTTCTACTTAAAATATCAGACCTGCCACTCATCCAGATTTATTTGGGCCAATATTTTGTTCCAAATCTCAAGCATCCCGATTTTCCTGATATCAATTTCATATAGGATCTATATGTCCCGATTTTTTTTTTTTGGTTTCGTCTGTTGCGCTGGATTTTCTAAAACCTTACTCTGCCTTCTTCTCTGTTGTGGGAAGCATCCATTAAACTTCTTATCAGCAGGCACTCAGCGCATTTAGTAGATGAATCACCCTGAGTAAGTTGTGTCGGAGCTTTGCTTGCACTAATGTTATTTCAACTACAATGGAAGTAGTATCGATTTGGCATTCCGACTTGGTACATTCAAAAGATATATACTTGAGTTTTTGTTTCCACTCTGAATTCTCAAATAATGGTCTGATAACTGTTTCAGTAGCGACATGCAAATGATTATTCGTAGTTCTGCTGTTACTTTTAAAACATTCTTTGTTTGAGCTCTGGATAGTCGGGCCAGTCGTCATGACCCAAAAAGGTAAAAACTGTTTCAATTCCGCGTTCGCATCACATGACTTCGACGTGTGAGTTGCGCGTGACGGGTCTACTAAAATCCATACACTTGAAAGTGTCTTTCGGGACTTACTGGGGGGGGGGGGGGGGTTAGACACTTGCACTAGGAGTTCTTGACGTGATACTTGAGAATTTAAAAAAATAATCATAAAACACACACACACACATACACACACACACACACACACACACACACACACACACACACACACACACACACACACACACACACACACACACACACACACACACACACACACACACACACACACACACACATATACACACACACACACACATACACACACACATACACACACACACACACACACACATACACACACACACACACACACACACACAGGGGGTACATACATGGATATTTTTATTGAACCTCTGGAAAAATTTTTAGTCAGCTTGGCAGTCACCTTGGTGACTTGTCATTGATCCAGATTTTTTTCACCAAATCCTGATTTTTTCCCCCCTGAGATCCTGATGTTTAGATTTCAAAGAGTGGCAGGTCTGAATGGTAGCTCTATAGGCCTGCAATATAAATCCATATGTAGTTTAAAATAGGCTTATAACAAATTGCCTTTCACCGTTTTAATCCATCCATTTGGATCATTGTGTTGCCCTGTGTTAGTACTCCAAGCTGGTCAAGTGTAGAAAGAGACTAGTTAGGTCTTTTGAATTTAATTGTAAAAGGCATCAATGATACAACTCATCCTCAGAGTTGACATGGAATGTTTCTCCACAGTCAAAGCCAAAAGTAGATTTGGGTCTGCAAATACTGGAGCTTACCAACTCTTTTTCTGTTGCTTTTTTTGGGGTTTTTTTTTTGGGGTTTTATTCATTGTTTGATCATATTAAAATGCCGTGTAGCAGATTTGCTTCTTATTTCAAAACACAAAAAAAAGTTATCTTGAATGATTAATCAGTTGAATTGTCAGTCAATCAGTGAATTTCCAGTTCCAGTTGTAAGTTGACCTCACAAGGCTGTTTTGTATTCTGCTACCTTCTTGACGACTCGCTACTTTGTCATCTTTCCAGCAGAGAGGTCTCTGTCTCCCTTCACTAAAGCATGTCCTTGAAAGATACCGTTGAGTGTAGTCTCAGATCAGAAAGAGATTTGATTTTCCAGTTTGTCCACCCTGAAACTTGATTTAATTAGAATGCGGTCTGGACTTAATTAGAATTTTGCTTTTTCAGATTAACTGACAGTTGTACAAGCTTGTAAACTACATCTATCTGGCACAGTAAGATTGGACACCTTCCTTTTTCATCTCTTGTAACCCCTCTAATCTTCGGCATTTATATGACTTGTGTTGCAGGTGCCGTAAAACACTTACTAAAACTAAACAATTTTTAAAATTATTTTAGCTGTTTACTACTTTTAGAGATAGTCTAGTTTCTGATGTAAGATTACCTCCTGTCCCACAGGTCAGCCGTGGAAAAGAATGCCGAGTATGAGGAGCTGAAGAAGAAAATCTGGTGCCCTCCCTTCGATGCCAGGTTCCCCAACCAGAACCAGACAAGGTTTGTAGGCTACAATATTTTTTAGCTGATGCATGTTTGGTTGGGTTTTTTTTATTGGGGGGGGGGGGGAGGAATGATGGGGAGACAAGAAAACCCCTAAGAACGCATCTTGGAATTGGAGGGCTGAGGGAAGTGGGTTTTTAAGGTGAGTTGCCCCCTCCCCCCCTCGCCGGCGAGCAAATTTGTACGTGCTACCAGTGATTTTTATTAGTGTTATTAGTTTTACATGTTCATGTTATCTGTGCCCCACTGTTTTTGTTGTGGGAGGGGGGGGGAGGTTGTTGAAAATAGATTTTCAAATTTTTTTCTAGTTGAAAATGCATTGGATGAGGCTGTCTCTTTTGAATCTTGTCTGAATTGTGCTGTGTGTATAAGATAATAATGTTCTCCATACCCCTTCCCCCCAACTAAAAATTATTCAGACTCATCCTCACTGTCTCCCTTTTCTCTCTCTTCTCCTTCTTTCATTCTGTCATGTTCAATTGTACGCTCACGCTTGCACAATGTGTGCTCTAATCGTGTAGATGATTTGATTTTCCTCAACAGTTCATTTCTGTTTGTATCCAAAGGTAAAAGAGAAAGTCTCTTTATTATCTTTGTGTTCAATTTGTGAAAGCATACTGCAGGTGGTTGGAGGGCGCCACTGGTCGGTCCTACTACTTCTTTTTTCCCTCTGTTGTTTCTGTCTGTCTGTCTTTACTTTTTCCCATCATTAAATGACCATTATTGTGTCGATGTACTTCTCTTTACTGAAACAAATAAAAAAACAAAGCATACTACCTCTACTTTTTTTGTCTTTAACTATTCTTTTGATACTTTGGTATTCGTTATATATATATATATATGTATATATGTACTCTGTTTACTTTTATATCTGAAGCATAAACTACCTAGATAGTGTTGTTTTTGCTTTGTTAAAGTTTACAAGCCTCTTATATATTTTTGTTGTTCTAGACATGTACTTTATTTACTTCTACGGTACATGCATCTGAAGGCATGAGCAGTTTTAAATCTCTACTTTTTATCCTTGCAGAAATTGCTGGCAAAACTATGTAGATTACTTCCGCTGCCAGAAGATCAAGGGTGAGGACTATGCTCCATGTGAATACTTCAAAAAGGTTTACACCCATTTATGCCCAGGATTTTGGGTAAGTTGCCACTTTGTTTATTTGCTTCTTGTTTGTTGAGAGTCTTAACATGTCATGACCTTCTTATAATAAATTTTAAATTATCATTTGTTAGGTGGACAACTGCAGAGTGAAAATAGACTCCTTGCAGAACATATTTTCTTGTTGGCTAATGGTGGATTTCATGAGGCAGCTTGTTTGCGCATGCCAAACTCTTCCCACTCATTCGCTCCGGTCTTCATTGGTGGCACATATGGGCTTTCCCATTCTTTGTTTCGCCACATCACCAACAAAGTTTCTCAACTGGCAAGGTTTTTTCATGTATAATTGGCCTACGCGCTGTGCATAGCAGCAGTAATATTCCACTATAACCGGCTCGTGTGTTTGTCTGATTGCGCTATGGCAATATTTTATTTACAAAGATAAAGAAGGGAAATAAAACGGGTTTCAGATTAGTGTCTTTATAGCAGGGGTCTCGTTATTTCAGGACTCGTTATAAGTGGACTCCTCTGTAACTTTAAAAAAAATGTGTATGACATTGAAAAATGATTATCTCCCTTTTCCTGGATTTTGGGCCTGCATCAGAAAAATCCTCAGGAGCTAAATGGTTAAATGAACCAGATTTTACAGTTTTTATGCTCCATATATTAATTTTATTTTGTGATTCAGAAAATTTTTTCTGTGACTTCCATGTAATAGAAAAGGTCAGAATATTGTGTTGTGAAGACTGAGCTAAAAGGTCACAGTCATTGTTGTTTATATCCCTTGACTATATTGCATTAATTGCTCTTGTGGAGAGGTTTAGGTAAGTTAAAATATTGATTTAGGATGAATAATCATATGTTGGTTCTCATACTTGAAAATAATTGCAGGCCTGGCCCGTTTATATTATGATCCATAATGGAATCCTGATTCAGCACTGAGATTGCTGTCCTGATATTGTTCGAGGTCAGGGGTGAGAGAGGTCGTACAAAGCAAAAAGTTATTCAGGTCTTTGATTACCACAGCAAATTGAGATTTTCATGGAATTTCTCTGTTACAATGTTACATGTCCCATCTTTTTTTTTGCTCACAGGTAGAGCAGTGGGATGACCAAAGAGAGAATGGCGTCTTCCCCGGGAAGATCTAGGCGCTGTTGCACTACTACTTCTACTAATCAACAGTTGACCTGTGTGCAAGGGCGTGTGTGCTGACATATTTTGTGTGATGGAAGAGAAAATAGCGACCAGTGGGAAGGAGTCAGGTCAAAAGTCATTTCACCCCGTTTTTGACATGACCTTGAAGCACTCTTTCGGCATGAAAAGACTGCAGAACCAGTAGAAATGAAAGAGTCTTGCAATTCTTTCTTATGGTCTTCAAGTCTGTACGAGTTGTACTAGTTTATACAAAGGCATGGGTGAATTGTGAAGAAAATTAGTTTGTCATTAAACTATTGTGTCAATTGATCACAGTGGTCTCTTTTGTTGAATTTCTCTGATGTTGGTTTTGTGAGAGTGTGTGTGTGTTGTTTGTTTATTGTTGTTGTTATTGTTTGTTGTTGTTATTTTTTTTATTTTTTTTTGGGGGGGGGGGGGGGGGGTTGATGTACCAGTAAAATAGATTTTTAATTATTTGTTCTCATTTCTCAGGAATATATTTTTTGTTCTTGTAATTGCAACTGTTTCATGCTGCCATGAATGCAACGGAGATCATTCACTTAGTGGATTACTTTGAACTGTCTTTGTAAGGGTCAACCTGTGCTAGATACAGCATCCCAGCAGAAAGAATTAGATACTCAATAGACTTTTCCACATAGGAACTTGTGTCTTTTGTGTTTATGGCCTGGATCGATAACAACATAACGTGTTTAATGGCAGAGAGCCTAACCATTACACCACAGACTCGCGGGGATTACACAGAAAAAATTGAATCATGCATAGAAATGATTTCTTAGTAGGGACCCTTCTTAGTATTCAAATATTTGCAACGCATCTGATTTACTGTTCAAAGTTAAAAAGCAAAGTTTTATAAATATAAAATCTTTGATTTTATAGAGATGATGATGTTCAGTTCTGGTTTTTATGCCACCAAATAAATGATCCCAGGGATATCAGAGGTAACAATGCATGTTTGCCTTTCTTTTAATTTCAATGTTTGCTTGCAAATGTTATATAATGTGGCGCTGAAAAATGTTGTTGCAAGGTGAACATTTCTGTTTTTGTTTTGGCTATTGTTTTTCGGTGCTCGCAATTGCATAAGGCCATATGAGCTCAGGGGACACATATACAGCAGTGTTAGTTTTTGGCCGCTACCCGGGAAAAATTCTAAATTAATTCCTACCAAACAGTTTGGTAGAAATTAATTTATAATTTTTCCCGGGTTGCGGCCAGTCTACTTTTTGTGATTTTAGGACCACCTTGGGATCTTTAACATGTGCAACTTGCACACGTGACCGAGATTTTTCGTCCTTATCCAAAAAGGATAGGTATTAGATCTTACCTACCGTAAGGTCAGAGATGTGGCTGAAAGGCAGCAGTAAAAAGAAGCCAGGGAGTAGCAGTAGGAATGCAGCAGAAAGAGTTGGGAGCCCAGGAGAGGGGAGTAGGGGGCAGAGAGTGGAGACGAAAGTAGATGACAGAACTTGGTTAGGAGGAGAGCAGAAAAGGAGGTGAAAAGAAACAATTTAGAGAAGAAAATTTTCTGTTGCTGTCAGGTTTCGAACCCCGGACCTATTGAATGAGAGGAGATCACCATACCTCGGCACCATGCGAGTCCCCCTAGTGAAAATTTTCAAGGATCACTATTTTGCAAGCATTATTTCAAGGTGCACCTTTCATGATCATTTTCTTCATTTGGGTGCAGTTGGTACATTTGTATGAAAGAAAGTATAAAAGCACAGAGGTCAAAGTCAAAAGGAAAGGTTTTGAGAAAACCGTATACAGTGGAGTCCACTTATAACGAGTCCTGAAATAACGAGAAGTCTGTTATAAAGACACTATTCTAAAACCCTGTTTTTTCTCATTCTTTATCTTTGTAAATAAAATACTGCTATAACGCAATCAGACCGTCACACGAGTCGTATATAACGGAATATTGCTGCTGCTGTGGGCAGCGCACAAACCAATTAAACATTATTATAAAACCTTGCCAGTTGAGAAAGTTGTCGGTGATCCAGCGAAACAAGGAATGGGAGAGCCCACGCGAACCAACAATGAAGGCCGGAGCGAATGAGTGGGGAAGGTGTGGCATGCGCAGACAAGCAGAACGCATCACATGATAGGCCAGCCCAGTCTAGATTATCTAGACATACCATGCCTCTCACTTCTCTGGTGCGGGATGGAGAGGTCACAATGCTGTGATAGATGGATGGAGTGAATGTGTGACGTGCGAAAGCAGACGCAACGAACCACAAGGTGTGGTGGGATGGGGGACAACACAGCGGGCGAGTTAGCCTAGAGCCAGAGCCCTTTCTTTCTGATCCCCAAGGCCGATTTGTCAACATTGCTAGTGCTAGAGAAAGAAACCTGATTCGATTTTTGATCAAGTAAGACCTAGAGATCATGATGAACAAAATCATCATCAGGGAAAATACAAAAAGAAATAAACGGAACGCCAAACTCATAGATTAAGCCTACTTTACTATTTCCCTTGAATTTATTACTGGATCCCTTGTAAACGAGAATCCTGCTATAACGGACATTTCGCACCGGTCCCCCTCCCTCTCGTTATAACAGGATTCCACTGTGCTGTACAAAGAGCTGCTAAAATAATATTAAACTTAAACCCGAGCTACCAGGGAAGGCAGTAAAATTCCCTTCTGTTTGGTACTGTATTACAATGGAGTTCGCTTCAATATTAGTTTCCATCTGCAAGAATCAGGAGATTCAGCTTTTTTTTTATCAATGTTTGTCTACTTCATGTATTCCAAATATTTTATAAAAGTATTTAAAACAATAATTGGGCAAATCCTTTGAATGAATCTTTTGAAATAGTCGAAATTGTTCAAGGGTGGCCATCCACTTCGGGAAAGAAAATTGTTGTCATAGGTGGATGTCTTGGGCAGAACTTATGATAATGAAAGAAAACTACTTCTGAGGTCCCAACCATGTAGCCACAAGCTTAAGACTGTCGTAAGGCCCATTGATTATTTTCTTTTCAAATTAAGGGAGAGAAAAAAGGGGGTTTCATGGCTGTTGTGAGTGTTAAATTCTAGTTTTTGTTTTTTGGGTATTACTAGTAAGAGGTTAACCCCTTCGTGACAGCTCCCGTACACTGTACATCTGTCCTCAGAGAAAGTTGCATTTGAAAATAGCAAAAGTTGCAAGAAAAATTAGCAAAAGTTGCAAGACAAATTGCAAGACGTGTATAGCTAAAACAGTGCCACGGAACTATTGGAATACATTGTTGCTATGCTCATTGCAATCTAAAGTAACCTATATGAGTTTTGTTAGATCAAAATCAGAAGTTAAATGTGAATGTCTACCCCAAAAAAATACCGCTCGAACTTACTCTTTGTGAATAGTGTAGTTACTCTCTTTTTATGCTTCCTTATTATTTTTAAAAATTACGTTGTCATAAATTATATTTTCCTTGATTATTTTTTCACCTTACAAAAGTGTAATTTTACATTGGTCCCCCCCCCCCCCCCCCACCTTCTTACACTTAACTTTTACAGTACAGGAGCCAACCCCTCCTCCTTTTTTCCAGGCGTAAGATATTATTTGAACGTCTCCTTTAGGGATTTTCTGGATGAATCGATCCATGTCTAGATTAGCCTCCTAGCCTAAGATTTAAAGTCTTTCACATTTTTTTTTATACTAGATGAAGAAGAGTGACGAGTGAGTTCCATAGGTAGCCACCACTTGGCAACACTATTGTTGCAAGATCATGTATTGTGTTGACATCTACTGCTACCAACTGGATCAACAGAGCGGCCACTCATCTCAATCTCATTAATTGATTAATGATGTATGTATGGTCAGAGGAGATTGTGGGAGGGGCTAATAGATTGTGACAGTTCACACACCTCACTCAGCAGCAGCTGAAAAATTTGTTACTGACTGGTCACTTGGGTAAACAATAGGAGGGACCAGTACACATCATATAACCTCATCTTTGCAAAACACTGGTCAGAGATCCGTTTATTCATAGGAGGAGTTCCGAGGAGGGGCCATCGCCTTCAATAATGACAGGTGAATTGATTATAAATTAAAGTGGCTTATCCGCAGAGCCAGTGGCTGATATGTTTATTCATGACAACATATCGGCGTAAAGAAATTTGTATGGCCATCTCTTGGACAGGTTTTGGGGTTTTGTTGGTTGATAAAATGTGTGAGGCATCATGATGAAATCTGGTGCTCGTGAAAATCATAAATCAAAGAAACTGGCATTTTTCTAGCCACTGGGCATATTTGAAAAAAAAAATGTTCTTTATTCGGCCCAACCCTTTCATATCTTTTTAAAACCCAAGTATGAATTATACTGAAAAACATTGATTAAAGGCACAAAAAATGTAAATTTACTGTTTCCAAGGACTCTCAAGCTTTGGAAGTCACCAAATTTTGGTAGCCATTTTCTCGCCAATTTTACTACAGACAACAGATGACCCCCACCTCCTTAAATCTTAATCAGAAGTTAATCTCGGCTTTTCTTCAAGATAGATGGACACACTTTTCTTCTAAAAGCAAGGCAAATGAACAAGCTTTAAGATGATACCAACAACTCAATATGCCCAAAAATTGATGAATGCCCGATTTCACCATGACGGGTAACATGAATTGGAACGGCAGCGTTGAGCAGGTTGTTGTCTTGGGCAGTTCCATAACAAAAACGCAAGGGAGGAGTGGAAAGTAGCTGTTTGTACAGATGGCCTTAGACATTTATAGCATTGCAGGTTCGACTGAGTTTATGTTTCCAAATCACACCCTTCTTTTTTATCATGAAGTTCTAGATCTATCTTTATCATGATGCATCTCAAAATAACCACTTCTGTATCTTCAGGCTGGTTCTTTCATAGCCACACAGCAATATGACTCCCACACCAATAGATAGGCCTATGAACTGAATTATTTTAATTATAACAACAGCTTGTATGGACCTGGTTGACAAGGGATTTAAGTTTTAATGAAAAGTTAGCTGCACACTGTAGAAAGTGACATTCCACCAGTGCTGAGACAACATCCAGGAACATTTCAACTTTTTCAGGGTTTTTTTCTTCTATACTCTAGCCACTGCGCTACTGTCCTCCTTCTGAATGACCTAGTCTAGTTATGTGATCATCATCATCCGCTGCCTTGCCGGCTGGCGTGGGCGATCATGGATCTCCACTTCCATCTGTCTTGCGTTGCAGCGATGGTGTCTGTTGTTCTTGCTGTTCCCTGTCATGTTGTCGACCTGTCCAGTATCTTTTCCCTCAGTCTGCCTCTGCCTCTCTCTCTGCATCAAACTTGCCTTTAACAGTGGAACTCGGATTCAACGAGGTCGCCGGGCCTGACCTAAAATCTCGTTGAATCCGAGTGTTCGTTATAGCAAACATGAGGTTTTGTGTAGATAATTACGGGCACTAAGCAAGTAATGCATAAAGAGAAGTCACAAGTAATGCCTGAAATGCCTGCATATTATGAGCTGTGTAAAAAAAAAAGACCCAATTCGTTCAAATGCACACGCCTGAGTCATCTCGATTGTTTACCAAAAAGTCGTGTTGCTGTGTAGAGCCTAGCATACGGCAACTTTTGATTCCATAGACCAGCACACAATTCATTATGTAGATCAACGTCAAGACTAGCTTATCATTGTAATAGTGATCAGTTGCCCAGGGAAAAAAAAAGGACTGACGCGTTTGTATCTGCGACGTTCAACACCCGGACCGCTAGTGCCCCTCCCCCCCCCCGACACACGCACACACAGCCACACGTGTTCAGGCCACCCATCTGACCCCGACACACGCCAGAGTAGACACGTGCGCGTGTCAACAACGCATGTGTTGGTATGAACGAAGGCCGCTTATTGGTCGCATGCAATCGGATATGTGAATAACGGTTCACGATGCTGGTGCAATGGATGGTTTCCGGGAATAGATAAAGTTCGTTCTGGGAGAAAAATGAGCGAAGCCACGTCTGCGGGGGCTGTTCTCCCGGGAAGCGACCTCGTTGAATCCGAGCTCGATGATTTAAGTGCTCGTTGAATCCGTGTTATTTTTATTGATTTTAAAGGAGAAAAAAACCGGGGAATCTATCTCATCTCGTTGAATCCGAGTTCTCCTTGAATCCGAGTTCCACTGTATTACAATATTCTCCAATGCTTCTTTCCGCATTGAGTGTCCAATGAAATTTGCCTGTCGCTTTCGTATATTCGTCATATAGGGTGTCGTCTGTAATTTGCTTCAAACTCAAACCAGATGAACAGGAGTGCACTGCATTCTCAGCATGCTCCAATACTTATGATAAAATATATTATTCACACTGAAAACACAAACAATAAACAACAAAACAATGAAATATATTAAACTTCACTTTCAATATACTGTAAGTTTATTGTACTTCAGCAAGATTAGCATGGAGGGTACACATGGAAATTAAGTACATTATGCTAATAATAATAATATGAATGGAACTGACGATAAATTTGCCAGCGGACGGAGCATTCAACAGAAATTGAATTTCACTATACACTCAAAATTTTTATTAAAATGTGGATAAAAGAAAATGCCATTTCTCTTGGACACACCTTAAAAGGCACATATGCGCTGGCTGGCAGTTTCATGGCACGTCACATTTTTACTGAACTAAACTTAAAAAAAAAATGTCTTGCAGCTCATAAAAATTAGGCACATGTTTCTAAAATGCCAGTACACTTCTAAATCCCAGTTACATGCAGCATTTCTGTTTTGACAAACCTTTGCATGGTGTAGTTGAACACTTCTAATTGAGTCAAAATGATAGAAGCAAAAAAAAAAGAAGAAAATATTAAAGATGTAGAACAAAGTTTCGGGGCTACTTTGAACAATTTTTTTTCAGAAACATATGCCTGATTTTCATACACTATTAAATAGATAATACGAAATGTATTATCGATCCACAAGACCATATATATAGCTGACTTTATGACATGCGAAATTAGCAAAACGTATAAAAACAAAGACATTTGTCCTGCAAATAGTCAAAACAAAGCTTTGAGTCCCCGAACTGAAATATCTCTACCATACTCAGAAACATTGCTGTCAAAGATTTTACAATTAAAATTTAGTCAGACAAATGAGCTTATTATCTTTTCACAATAAATATAACAACTATGAGAAGTAAATTAGAACTTGGAATTGCACTGGACTTTTCACAGCAATTTCCAATTAATTTCGAAATAACTAAAGACTCATTTTGACAGGTTGCAAGACATAAAGAGTTCATAAATATCACAGCTGGAGCTTAACCTAACAATCAAAGAACCAGTGAACCTCCCATCCAAAGTATTTGTTAGGTCTAACATACGTTTTGCAGATTGAGGACTTTATGAAAGCAAAGTTGGGCAAATAATGTACAGACATTTTAGATTTAAATGATTGTAGTACTATAGAGAAACCTATACTATACCATTATGAGGCAATGTCATGTTCATGGCAAATAAAATAGCAGCTTTATTTTCATCTTTTTTCACTTCTCCTGTGAAGTATAAACTGTTGTAAATAACATTTATTTTATCCGAGGCTGTTGGGAATGTTAGGGACTTGTCTAGTCTTCAGAGAATTGGACAAGCTGTTACAGACCCAAGTATTCAGTGGGAAACGTTTAGTTTATTCTTTAGAAATGTTCAGTTTCTGACCATGACTGATCTCCTCGAAAATTAATATTGAGCCCCACACAAAGAATTAATCAGGCAACTGTGTGTGTGTGGAGAGAGAGAGAGAGGGGGGAGGGAAGAGAGTAAGTTCAGTAAGCACTTGTCCCCCCCACCTCTCTGACCACTGCTTACATGTTTCCCTCTGTTATACCACTGGTTGGTCTAGTCACCCTGTATGAGGATCCAGGCCTGCTCTTTTGAGGATTTGTTTACCTGAGGTGGTTTGTTAATTTTAAAGAATAAATAAAAGGGAGTTTCTTTTCCTTTTCGAAATGTACAACATTGTTAGTGGATGCGAGGTTCACTGAAACACAAGTTCACGTCAAGACACAATCAAAGACAACAAAAAACCCATCCTTTTGAAAAGGATCAAAACTTTAACAGTTTTCAGTAGACATTTCATTACAATTCCTCACACTAAAAGGATCATTATGCTCTCCCTGTATTGTGGACATGTTTCAGTGCACCGTAAAATATTTTTTTCAAGAGATAAAAAAGCTTTCTTGTCAAACACGGAATGCCTGGCATAGAACAAACTGTACTGTAAGTCACAAGCGAGTTCAGAATAAATAAGGCTTCCCCCCTTGCAACAAAAATCATTCTTTAATTCAGGAAAAAACCACTGATGACAAAACTGTTCTCACTTATGACTTTGTACTTGCCTTAAGGCATGGAACTTTGAGACACAAGATCTACATGGAGATTCTCTTGGTATGTGATGAATTGCTGTGCTGTATGCACAATGTCGCTCAAGCTCACAACATGGTGGAGGAATTTTATATAATATACTAGCAAGTGTCACTTTTCTTATCTTTTAGAATGAAACACCGACAAATAATTTTGCTTTCCAGCCTAGCAACAATTAAAATAAAATCATTATTAATGAACAAAATGAGTAACAATCGATTTTCACTCCCGTCAACACTTCACAGTAATTTGTTGAGACTGAACTCAACAAACACTTGAAGGTAAGGACTTAAAATCTTCAGGGGAAACAGAATTTTCTCATCTTTCCTGGAATGCTTTTTCCCCCTTCTCAGCCCTCACTTTGGACGATGACCAAGTTGCAATATTTTGAAATGACCTGCATTGGGTCTCGTGAAGTAATAATCTTTGTATAAAAAATAAAAAAATAAAAAAATCATCAACTGAGTGATATGCCAGAGGCTAAACAAAACCTGTAACAAGGACAAAGACCCCACATTAAGAACCTGAGAGTATCCAAGACAGACGCACTACTATAAATAGTTTCCAGTCTCCTTCGCAAAAAATCAAAATAAAAAAGAATTGCCCATAAAATAACAAGCAATCAAGCAATTTAGCAAACGCCCTGAATGGGGGGAAACCTAGAGTTAAAATGCTCTATCTGCAATATATATGACACTATACTAATGTTGCAGATCTAACATTTTGGTTCTAGGTCCTTAAAATATCAAGAGAGACCTCCCCAACCCTTGCAGTTTCAGACTCTCAATCTCACACAGGACACACAATTTGTACTGAAAAATGTACTGGACGTAACGAGGATTAACAACTTAAACATGTCCTTTCATCTGACAATGACAAGGATTCAAAACATCGTAATAGAGCAAAAAAAAGATAGATATAAAAGAGTGTCAATATTCTTGTTCTGTGGGCTATGACTGGAGGTACTACTGTTGTCATCTGCGTGCAGTTTTTGTGACACTGGTCTTTGGCCGTAGCGCTGAGGAAGAGAAATTTTACCATGAGAGGCATCTGACATCATGAGAGTTAGAACTGAAGTCAAGCAAAGAAAGAAAAATGTGAAGAGAGCGAGTAGCATTTGTAATATTAACAGCGGGAAAAACTGATAGAGGGCAAAAACAAGAATATGAGCGTTGGCAAAACAATTTTTGCTATCATGAGAAAGAGAAATTAAATTATCATGATAAGATAAGTGAAAAAAAAAAATGTCACAATAGGAAAGGATATGATCACCAGAAAAAATTAACATTGGAAAAATAGTCAAGAGCGGTAAAGGAAAACACAAAGCAAATTTGTCTAGACAGGGATTTTATTTCAATATACATTTTTTTTTTACTGATGGATAATGTTTGATGAAAAGTATCATTGGTAGATGTACTAAGTCAAACAAGCTAATAGATAGTCCACAATAGTGATCAAATATGTGTCATCAAACGCAAATCTGTCCTCAGAGAAATTCGCGCCCGCAACCCGCAAGTTGCGCGTGCAACTTTTGCCCTCAGCGCAATTTTTGCCCTTTTTGTGAATTCGCAAATTTTAGCCAATTTCCCGCAAAGATTGGGACAATAATAATAAAATTTAATGAAAAACACCAAAATTTTCTTCCACGACTAAAAATAACGACGCCAAGGGGGACAATTCACTCCTTTACACTACGGGGTGCCCGACAGTGCCCGCCGTCGCCCGCCCAATGACCCAGGTCAGGTCAGGTCCTGATGATCGCTCGACTCATCGCCTGAAAACAACGTGTTTGTTTTGAAACAGCGAGTCGGGCGCGATCGACTTGCGCCACGATAGCCGCTTTGCACCATCAATCTGGCGGGCAAACCGACCCAATAGTCTTGTTTGGACTGAATCATCTTCTAGTCTAGCTAGATCTAGATCTAGAGTAAATCAATCGTAAACACGGTCGTCTGATTACTTAGATTGCTTGGTACCGTATTTAATTATTATGTCACATGTGTGTATGCATGTTTATCATGTATACTATAATTAATAATTTAAAAGTCTAGATCTAGACATGGATCGATTCATCCAGAAAACCCCTAAAGGGGACGTTCAAATAATATCTTACGCCTGGGGGGAAAAAAAAGGGGGGGGGGGGGTCTTTGACTCCCGTAAGAAAGGGGGGGGGGGGGGGGGGGGTGGCAAAAAGTCCCAAACAAAGTGTACGATTATATTTGAACAGCCCCAAAACCTGCCCAAAGACAGCGAGAGTGTAAGGACCTGACGCATGTGTCAGGGGACAAACTGTTTTTGTACACCATGCAACCTCCATGCAGTTGGTTTTTTTGGTAGACATTCACATTTAACTTCTGATTTTGATCTAGCAAAACTCGTATTGTTTACTTTTAATTGCAATGAGCATAGCAACAATGTATTCCAATAGTTGCGTGGCATTGTTTTAGCTATACACGTCTTGTAACTTTTCTTGCAACTTTTGCTAATTTTTCTTGCAACTTTTTGCAACTTTTGCTATTTTCAAATGCAACTTTTTCTGAGGATAGGCAAATGTAAAACATGAACCAAAAATGAACTTTAATTCGGAATGATGTAAAAAGAAAAAGAAAAAGTACTGCTCCCTGCCATTAGTTGAGTCACCACTTTATTGTTTATTTCTACACATGGCAACCGTGACCCTTCAAAAAGATCAACATCAGGAAATAATATGTTTAAAAGGAGTACCGGTACCTTCTCTTCTTGAGTCGGGAGCGATACACCCACTCATTGCAACAGTGAGTGCAATTCAAGCCCCAGTGCAGTGTTGGAACTTGGTGCATTTAGACCCAAGTTAATACATTGTTACCGAGTTCCAGTGTACACTATCTTCCCTGATAACTAAGCCAGCTATCTTCAGAACGGGCACATTGCTGGGACCTTGAGTCTAAATCGACCCAGTGAAAATAAAACTGGCACTCTTTCTTGAAAATTCACTCACAGTTAGTTGAAAATAAAAATATCATAGGCAGAAAAATTCAAACACATGCAAAAGCTATTGCTGACTAACTAGGGAACAATTATGTTTATAGGGACAGTAAAAAAGTACTATAAATTGTACCTTGATTAACAGGTTTGCTGGACGATGACTTAGCAAATTTGCTGACCACTTGCTTGTCATTGAGCAGCTGAATATCCTGATCCTCTGTCTGGTTACTGTTGAAAAACCAAGAAAGTAGGATAAAACTTTAAAAGAGGTTTTTGTGTTCAAAGATTAAATAATTGACTTTGGAACTGATTTCCATGGTTTGATGGAATTGATTTTTTCGTAAGTCAACTCGATAGACATTCTACTACTTTCACAACATGTACATTGACTCAAAACAAAGAACAGACATGAATACTAGGGATGGGCAGGTACCGGAACTCCCGGTTCTACCAAGGAGGTGTCAGTACCAGCACCTGGCCTCCAGTACCGGCTCTAGGAAGGAGCCGACACCTAGACGCTCAGAGAGTAAGAACTAATAGGCCAACACCAACGGGTTTTTAACCGGGCCACGGGAAATGTGCGGTGTGTAGGCCTAGGCCTTGGTCTAGCAGCTGTGACGTCAGATGCACACAACGCAGCTGGTGACCTTGATACATGACTTCAGATTCAAACTTGGCAATCAAAAACAAAGTCTGCTTAAATTTAAATTTGGCATCAAATCAGGTTTTTACGCGAGCCACTTTGCATATTTTGATACGCTGATTCCGAAAATGAAATCCATTTTTAGCGGCGATAATTTAAAAAAAAATTTTGCATGCCGAGTCTTATCCCACAAGGTGGCAATTTTCAACGGTATTTTGCGTCAATGTTCGCCTCTCCAATTCTGACGTGTGTGAGTGGGGGAAGCTGGCGGCACTGATCGTGGTGTGAGACGCGAGATGCACAGTCTGTGAAGTCACCTCCTGGCGTCACTCCTGGTACCGGTGCCGCTACTGGCGCTTCTCGGCACCTGGTACCGAGAAAGTGTCGACACTGGGTTATGCCAGTACCGCCCAACACTAATGAATACAAAGACAAAGGAAAGAAGCTTCCCTTACAGAACTTTCATACAAAATTTTATTTTCATTCATAGCTGTTTAGATGAGAAACTTGCATATACCTTATGCATAACCCTGGCCCTTGAAAGTGGTCGCCCGCCATTTTGGGAAAAAGATTCGGGTAAGAGTTGATATATATATTATCAGGATTTAACACATTACACCCTAACTTGCCCAGGACCGCCCAGGAATTCCCTTATGCGCTCCACCCTGACTCGCCTGGAACCACCCGCCCCGACCTAGCGTCTTTAGAAACGAAGTCTTGACTTGATGAGTCTCTGGTTCTAGCATAAATTTCTTTCATCACGGCCCTTATCGAGTTCCCTTGCCGTAGAATCTTCGTATTGATCATTTCTGTAGATCTAGACAAATTTGTAAAAAAGTTTCTTTCTGATGTTAATTTTCTGTCTAAGATCACAAGTAATTTTATTTACTTTACTTTACTTTTCCGATCCAGGGGCCATTTGGGTTCTAGCCCTTTGGTCTGTTGATATGGCAAAGAGCAATTTACTTGATCAACGCGCAGATTTTCCAGCTGCGGCAACAATCTGAACATAGACAGGCGGAATGAGAGAATGATAGAAAGGAGGAAATTGGCACAAAAAGTTCACCAGATTTGGATAAATCTACAGGTAAAAATGTACTGCCGACCAACTCACAATGAATGCATGGGGCATAGCGGAACAATGGCCAATTGCAGGAAATGAGCAATCTGGTAGGTTTCTATAACATTAACTTGTTGCCGAGAGAATAACTGTAAATATCCGTAACTTATATTAGTACTAGACGATACGAAGGCGAGTACGGATCTTTCGCTACAGAATTTCGGTAGTCCTACGCTGTCACAGCTTTTTATGGAGGGAGTTGATAAAGACGGATGAACAAGTACGGAACTGGCAGAAAGTACGTCTCCGTAAAAATACGGAAGAGTGGAAGCACGGTGTGAAGATAAATCTCGAGCATCTCCTGATTAGCCAAAGATAAAGACCGAGTTGAAAGCAGGAAGCCCAGCGTACCTAATGATGGCATTCCTCTCTTTGCGTACAATGTCCTTGTTGTCGGAGAAGAGCACAGTGTGGTGAGGCACCGGCCCTTCACAGTTGGGTAGGATGCCTCGAGCGCCACTGGTCACCCCCTGGAGGGTACCATTATACACCAGCAGGTCGTCCACCAAGAGCTGTGGAGGGATGGGGGGGGGGGTATTTTGCTTGAGTGAATTGATAGAAGAACAGTACATTGATTGATAAAATAATGCTCATTTAGTGCCTGAAGAGAGATTGGGGGAGGGGGGGGGGCTATTTTGTTAGCTGAGAGCTCTAGTTCTATTTATAACCTCTTTGGTTACAAGTCAGCTACGCCAGGACAGAAAAAAAATAGTACGCAGTGACCGAACATTGTCAACCAAAGTGTTGAAAGCTTAAATAGTCAACGACACATTTTAAAAGTAGAAAAAGTTCTCCATTGTACGTGTTATGGTAAATATTTTCCTATCTGTAAAGCTTACATATTCATTGTTAGGAATATCTTGAGCTCATGAACTCTGACATGAGACTGAACTAATTATATAAAAAAAACCCTTGACAAAATCAATCAGTTCTGCCCTTAAGGTCTGTTCAGTTGCTGATCAATAAAGCATAGATACTACAACACTTGCCCAGTTCATCAGACTCACAGGTTCGGCCATTGACTGGAGGTCTTTTCAAACAGGATTATCTTTGGCACAATCTAGTGCCAGGAACGGGTACTTACAGCAAAGTCTTTCACCCCACGGCTGACGGTTTTGCTGTAGTTCCACATTTTGATCATGGACACCGAAGTCGGCTGGTCAAAGATTACATACACACGGTTGATCTGGATGGCAGGGGAAAAATAAAAGTAAACAAGAGTGAAGAAATGTTCCAACAGTGAAAAGTGTGTGAACATTTTCAAAGGAAAAGAAAAGAACTATATCATAGGTGACACTCCCTCCTTACTGAATGGTGGTTTAAAGTGAGAAAAGTCTCCTCCCTACCATTTCTCCTACAGTAATCAAACTGTAATCTCAATTAGTCAAATACAATTTTAGCACATTTTCAGACAGTACATGGGTCTTGTTGTCAAATTATTTTCCAAACTAGTTTATAGTTTGTTTTAGTAAGAGCTTTAAGGCACTTGTCACACAAATGCAAGTTCTGAAGATTAGATGTTTCATAGGATAAAAAAGGAGAAAACCACACCAGATCACATGCCAACCACCCACTCCAAAACAAGGCAAAGGGATATAATTGCATGCAGACCCATTTGCACTGAAAACAGTTTCCTCAACAGTAATTTCACAGACATTTATCTTGTATTCATAGTATATGTTTCTGTGATTTGAGTCAAAATGCAAAAGCAGCAAAACTTAAGCCTGAAAAAATTATGACATCACAACAACAGAGAACATGCTGAAGAGATCATGCTATGACACGGATGTTCTAATTTGAACCTCACTTTATTACAGTTGAAACTGCTCTACCAGCTACCTAAATATATGACAATCACCTGCACAAACGGCGACTTCCCGTTTCCTCTCTTGAATGTATTTTTTACATTATATTACACTGTGTAAGCCAGACACTTTTCTCCTCGACAATGGGTCACCGTATTAGATAGTTTCCACTGTATTCATATCAAGGCTCTTTCTAGATGACTCACGATATTAGGCAGCACTGGAGCCAACCACATGTGCCTCCCGTCTGCTGTGTCGTTTAGTCCATCTATGAGTTTGTCAGGCGTGCGAGCGTCGTTGCTGACATTGTCCAGGACGTTCACACTGTCTGGATATGCTGAAATATCTGTGGGGGGGAGATGTGGAGATAGGATATAATTAGATAAACCTCCCTGATCTTCCAGTTAGAGAAACTGATTGTTTTCTGTTTATGCAAACTGCAAATACACAGCAAAATACCAAAGCAAAAGATTCGAGTAAAACTAAAACATGCACAGATTAAGCCAAACAAACCCCCCCCCCCTCTATTTCTCTCTCATTCATTGCTAGCCTATTTAAATGTAAACTTATGAGCCCATATAGCGTACATCAAAGGAATACGAGGGAGACTACCGCCAAAAATGAGAAAATTAAAAAGAGTTCATACTACAATTACTGAGAGCAAAAAAGGACTTTATATACCACATTCGCATTGGTTACTGATAGATTCACGGCCTGCCACAATTTGAAAATTTAATGAACCGGTAAGATAAGAAAAGATAAGATTTTATTGATCTCCACATGAGGGAATTTGCTGAGGCATGGTAAATACATACAAGCACGCACACTCGTCAACACATACATACACTCGTCAACACATACACATACGTCAACACACACATATTTACAAACAGGGGCACACATACATGAAGTCATTCGACATACATACAAAGTGATATTATTCTTGCACACCTGACAATAACAGAATAGCTCGTTTTGATGACGGTTGACTTGATTTGATAATCAGTGATCACTTGAAAAATTTTTTTTAAAGGTTAAATTTATCCTTCCACATACACCTACCCTGTTACTGTTCTGACTTTGCAAAAACTAAGGGCAGACACTGGAAAATATAAGCTTGAAACTGACATTAACTTCATGACAGCAAAACAACCCGCATAAATAATCATCTCAAGGCAAAGGATCACAACCTGATCAAACTGCCACACCACATCAGGCAGGAGTTAAGGTACTAAACTGGCAAATACAGACAAATAGAATGTGACAAAGCAAATAAAAACAAGTACAACCCTCTCAAACAGCTTAAGCCTCTTGTACTGATGCACAGACAGACTCAACACTTACTAGTCTGTGTGAGCTCGATCTTGCTGAAGTTCACATCATAAAACTCTAGACCATTAAGACCAACATAGTACTGGTCACCCCATGTGGAAAACAGCTGAAACTGAAATATGACTGGACCAAGGTTAAGGAAGAAAACACTTATTTCCCCCTCAAGGGTGGGGGAAGGGGGATGGGATGGGGTGGTGGTGGTGGGGGGTTGGGGAAGGGATGGGGTGATGGTGGTGGGGGGTGGGGGAAGGGAAGGGATGGGGTGGTGGTGGTGGAGAAAACAGATACACCCACCACTAACTAGCAGGAACAGCAACCCTTCGACAATTTGAATAAAACACGTACAGTGGAGTCTGCTTAAACTGAATACGGATAATCTGAACACAGTGGCAAACTGAAAGAAACTAAAACCTCTAATTCTTTTTCTCTTCAATTTGAGCAACCTCTCTAAACCGAAGACCTAGCTGAACCCACGAAAAACCAGTGGATTTTGGTCTAAGCGGACTCCAATGTGTATGACTATTTATGCTACGATATAAGCTATATGTTACTTTAGTATATAGTACCTGCTTTCTTCTTTCCTCTTCCCACCTTTCTTGCAGTGATTAAGCTACTTTTGGTCATGTTACACTTGCCATATGTCTCCTCTCTTATGTTTACATTCACATTATGAACCCACATGAATGTTTGTCCCAATCCATCTGCCTTTCTTCTTCTGAGGGTTCAGTTGGGACGTGGCTTACAGCAAATGGGTAAAGCAATGACCACAATTTTCCAGAGGCAGATTATGACAATACTAGGTCAGAAAAAAAGAAGAGATGGTACAATTGTAAGTTAGAGCAGTTCAAGTAAAATAGAGCACACAAACACAATAATGGTAATTTGAAGCAGGGAAAAAGCAACATACACTTGGACTCAAAAAATGGAAAGAAAAGAATTAGAACCTACCAGTGGCACTCTCCAACCACCTGCAGAGGCAGTTCACAACCAGTCAGCAAGAAAACAGGTGCACTTTACCATGAAACAGAAAAGTGACAACCCCTAAAAGAGAAAAGTAGAAGTTTCAGGCCACATACATAGTGCTGACCATCCACTCACAGGACTCATATGAACTGACTTAAACCTGTTCGGGTTATACTGGACTCTGAAAAAACCCAGAGTGGGCAACAAAAATTCCGTTGCAGCTATAGTCAGCAGTGACAAATCAGCGGGCAAATTTCACCAGGAGTCAATGAGGACAAAAACAACACGAGAATGACACAAAAAGTGCAGGCCACACCGTAGTACCCACCAACTACCTGCCGGGGTCACAAGTAAGCACAATAAAGACTAAGTCAAGGATACAGCCTCGAGGCATTTGCACCACACTCTCATAGTTCAGCTCTCCTCCTCCCATAGGTCTGTTAATTGGGATGAGATGTAAAAGAAACAAGAATTTTGTCAAACTTTAAGCTTCAGCAATTAAAACATAAGCTTCACTGACTAAAATGTAACGCACACATTCTGGTCCATGGAATAAAATATAGGGTTCTATTTTGGTTCCATAACTTAAAATTTTGGGGGACACATTGACTGACTGATTAATATATGGGTACAGCTATAAACCAAAAGCTATGACTGAATATTTGAATGTCAACATTTTCAATTAGGCCTTGTAAACACCTCTTAGTTGCAACTGTTTTATATCATCAAAATCTAAAAATTGTTTCAATTCGCAAAGTGACAACACATATTTCATTAACAAAATAACAATCAGGAAAACAAAAAATCAGTGTCTGAGCCTAAAACTCTGCCTTTCAGCTTTTTCAATTCAAGCCACTTAAGAATCATTTTTGACAGGCAGCCTAATGAGGCAGATTCCTAGCTTTATTCTTTTGACTGTATTATAATAGTATTTAAAAAAATTATGAACAACCTTCAAAATTGATCAAGTATCAAACATAGAATAACGCTGCTTACAAAATGACTCATTCTGCTGCAAACAGCTGACAATCAGGTTGTGCTGTCTTTTTATTGACTTTTGGCACTCAAGCTTCCCAGATTACCAAAGACTAAGAAAACCCCAAACTTTCCAGCACCAATCAGCGAGCAAAACTTGTCACCTCCTATCAAAAGATAATTTTTTAATATATTTAAAACAGTCTCTCTTAGTTTGACAAACTGAACATTTTTGATACGGAAGTGGATTTAGACGCAAAAAAACACACCCAAACCAAACCAGGCCCTTACCTGTCCACTGTGCTGGGCTGACTAGGAACACTAGAATTGGCAAACGTGATCTCTTGAGCAAAGTCAAAATGACAGACCCCCGGACCTTTCCGGAGCAGATAGCCTTCAGGAGGGGAAACAACTCTATCGTTGACTTGTACATGCATCACCTTGGCCTGGATTAGAGCAAGAATGAAAACCAAAGTCAACACTGCATCTCTTTGCTAGTCATCTCAAGGAAATAAGATCTCTGGATATACCTGGCCCTCCAGGAAATCGCGGTCTTGTGGCCGCACTTGCAGCCGCGTTTTTCGTCGAGTTCCGCAATAAACCCGCAATTTTTTGCAATTTTCGCAATTTCTTGCAATTTTCGGCAAAAATACACCAACGCTTTAATTTTAACAGAATTTTTAATACGAAATGGTGCGAGTACAGAGCCAATAGGCCTACGTAGCCTAAATCATGGTATCGGCCCAGCTCAAGCCTACTGAGTATACTCAAAAAGCTATAGCCGGAAAATCAGGCCGGAATGCATCATGTACAACACAAACTGAGACATAGGCTAGGCCTGGATCTAGATCTAATGTGCGCAAGCGTGTGCGTGTGATAAGAAAGTAGGTGTATGCGTGTGTGAGGTGTACGTGAGTGTGTGTGCGTGTGAGTGCGCGAGCGTGAATATTGTTGGTACATGATGCATGTGTCTACATACACGGTAACCCGGCATTTAGTCTCAGTATCTACGTACACGGTAACCCACCGGACTGAAAATTAATCAATATTTGTCCTGTGCTGTCACTTGTTGGAATAAAAAAAAGAAAGTTATACACGCGTCTTGTCGGGCTCGCCATCGTTACCGGTCAGTGAACCTGTGCTTTCGCATCACATTTTGAGTACCGGTTGGGGTCACTAAAGTTCATTCAAAGTCTGTGCGCTACGAAGTATAGGGCTCTGGAACGGGACAATTATTAATTAAAAAAAAAAAATGTACAGTCGGGGGAGGGCTGAAGTTGATGGCAACACTGGATGACAAAAACTGAACTTGGAATTCTTAACTGCCCGGTTACCGTGTACGTGACACTGAGACTACGTGCCCGGTTGCCGGTTACCCTGTACGTAGACACTGAGGCGAGATGTCCGTGTACTGTGTACCGTGTATGTAAACACCCCATTATGTAAAACACCTTAAGCTGCGTTCACACGCGAGTGGGAGCTATAGAAATGATCTAAATCTACATTAGTACATTTATCACTATTGTTTATAAATGGAAAAAAAAAATTTGCTGTATTTTACGAATTGACTTAGTGTTAAAACAATAGGCCTACCATGCCAGTTTTAAAAGAGAAAATATCTGAAATAGATCTAAATATAGATTACCGGTATATCGAAGGTTTCAAGAGAAAAAAGGAACTGGATCTGGTTTGATTGGAGCATAATAAGCTTATTTTGTATAAAAATAAAGAGGTTGTTTCGAAAATCTCTCGTCACATTTTTTGTTTTTTTTAGACTAAACCTCATACACTTCTAGATATTTGCATGAACCAAGTACCCGGTATGTACTAAATTTGGTCAAATTTTATGCCTTCATTTAAAAGTTATTACGAAAACCGAGGACTCCGCTATTTTGTGTCACACGTATCATATTATATTTGGTCGATATAACTTTATTGTTAACGTATTCGTGTGTTGTTACTAGTAAATGTTGTTAATAACATTTGATGAATTTGTATTGTTTGTCATGATTTTTTAAAAGGCTGAGTTGCTTTTATGCTACCGGTACTCAAAATTGTCATTTTTTTAAAACTAAAAATGTTAAACCCGTATAAATGCGCCTGGGATGGGAAGGTTGCAATTTTTGCAATTTTTAGGTGGTTTACCTTGCAATTTTTTGCAATTTTTTGCAATTTTTCTATTTCAAAAATGCAATTTTCCGCGGGGCCAGATATACATATCAACATAAAATCAATATTGACTACTCAGTATAAAACTGTCATACGTCACAATAAGCAGTTGACAAGTTTAAAAGAAGAATATGGCACAACAGCCTTGCTGCTAAAACCTACGACAGACAATTTTTACTTCCTAGGCAGAGAAGACAACCAAGAAAAGGGTGGAGTAACAGAGGAGATAAAGCTGGCAGCAACATGGGTTCACAAGTCATCAAGACAGCACAGTTTGGCCATGCCAAAAGCCTGAACCAACCTTCAACATTTGTTGGCAATAGAGAACAGAAAAAAAGGAATGTAAGCTACTTCTCAGCCAATTAATTTCTTGTGCAGCTTCAAAACACCATGAGCCTCTCTCTCTCTCTGTGGGTGTGGGTGTGTATGTGTGGGTGTGAGTGAGGAGGAAAGGGGGGGGGGGAGAGATATAAGTACAGATGTTGTTATGAGTGTATTTTGGCCAATCTTTTTGAGCCTGATTATTTGGTAGAATTTGCACAACAGTGACAGCTAATCTGGCTAGATTTTTCTGAACTATCTGTTAGGCTTTCTCAGATCCACTTCTTTGGCAAATAGAAACAACTAAATGCAATTGAAGTTCAAGACCAGGAGGCAGTTTGTTTTATTGACACCAAGGTGCATGCAATTCTACTTTAAAAGCAACCCTTTGAGAAACATCTTAGGCAAAAAGTAAACTAGCACACTTGGTAGGGGGGGCTCTCGTTGCCTAGAGGTTAAGGTGGGGACCTCTCATTCAAAGGTCCAGGGTTTGAATCCTGGTAGCGATGAACAATTTTCTTCTCTAAAATTGTCTCCTTTCACCTCCTATCCTGCTCTCTAGCAATGTTCTGTCATCTGCTTTCATCTCCTCTTTCTGCCCCAAC